TGAAGAAGGAAGGGGTCAGCCTAGCAAAACAGACACTTTTAGACAAAACTACTCTACTGCAGCCAAACACCATAGAAAACATTATGGCCTTACCCCCACCAGCAACAATCCTGTGGAGAAACTAGACTTCTACCTTCATCAGATTATAACGCACCCCAAACCGCATCCCCCCCCCCCCCCCGCACTGGGTGGTGTCAGAGAAGACCAAGTAGAGAGCCAGGACTTCCATTCCCCACTAGGTGGTAATAAGACCTCACCTCCAGCTCCCATGGTGCCAGTGGAGACCATGCTGGGAACAGTAATAAGTCTTTCCTACTCCTCCCAGTCAGGGAGGTATCAGTGGGGACCTAATGGGGAGATGGCAATCCCCAACCCCCTTCCTCTGTTGGTGCAGTGTCAAAGGAAGCCAGCTGAAACAGAAGATTTAAATAAGATCTGGAAGCTCATAACATCATGCCCCAGATCCCCAAGTATCAGTTAAAATTCACTTATACAAAGACCTAGGAAGATCTTAAACTGAATGAAAAAAGGCAATCAATAGATGCCAACATTGAGATGGGAGAGATGTTGGAATTATCTGACAAAGATTTTAAAGTAGCCATCATAAAAATACGTCAAGGAACAATTATGAACACACTTGAAATAGATGAGAAAAAAAATATATAAAGTTCCAGCAAAGACATGGAAGACATAGAGAAGAACCAAATGGAAATTTTAGAACTGAAAAATATGATAACTGAAATTAAAACGGAAAAAAACTCAATGGATGTGCTGAACAGCAGACTAAAGGGAACAAAGGAAGGAATAATTGAGATGGAATATAGGACAAAAAATTATCTAATCTGAATAACAGAAAATAAACTTAAAAAAATAAAGCCTCAGAGACCTGTGGGACTGTAACAAAAGACCTAATGTTTATATCATTGAACTCCTAGAAGGAGATGAGAAAGGGAGTGGGACTGAAAAAGCACCTGAAGAAATAATGGCTGAAAACTCCCCAAATTAGGCAAAAAAACAAAACCAACCAACAACAACAACAACAAACCCTCATAAACTTACTGATTCATGAAGCTGAGAAAATTCCAAAGAAGATAAACCCAAAGAAGTGCACATCAAGATACAAAATAGCTAAACTTCTGAAAACTAAATACAAAACGCATATCCGGAAGAAAAACAACTCACTGATGGTGAGGAAACAAATTGAATGACAGTGGATTTCTCATTAGAAAACATGGAGTCCAGAAGAAAGTGGCATAACGTTTTTCAAATGCTGAAAAAAAAGAACTGACAACTGAGAATCCTGTCACCAGCAAAAATACCCCTCAGAAATGAAGGGGAAATCAAGATCTTCTTAGATGAAAGAAAAACTAAGAGAGTTTGTGGCCAGAAGATTTACCCTAAAAGAATGCTGTTCTCCAAACAGAAAGGAAACTATTTTTTTAAAGGAATCTTACAACATCAGAAAGGGAAAAAAGGATATGGTAAGCAAAAATATTGCTAAATGCAATACACATTCTTTCTCTTCTTGAGCTTTCTAAATTATGTTTGACAGTTGAAGCAAAAACTACAGCATTTTCAGATGTGGTTGTGTTTGTAGAAAGAACAAACAGAAAACAAGAAATAAAAGCATAGGGGTACCTGGGTGGCTCAGTCAGTTAAGCATCTGCTCAGGTCATGATCTCAGGGTCCTGGGATCAAGCCCCACTTTGGGATCCCTGCTCAGTGGGTAGTCTGCTTCTCCCTCTCCCTCTGCTCCTTCCACACCCCTGCTCTTGCTCTCTCTTTCTCTCTCATATAAATAAATAAATAATCTTAAAAAAATAAAAATAAAAGCACAGACTTAAAATTTAACATATCAGTAATTACATTAAATTATTAGTATAATAGACCAGATAGTTTCATGGGAGAATTTTACCAAATGTTTGAAAAATTAACACCAGTTCTACACAATGCCTTCCAGTAAACAGAGGCAAAGGGAACACTTTCATTTCAATTTATGAAGCTAGTATTATGTCAATATCAAAACCAGACAACAGCACAACAAATAAAAACTATAAGCCAGCATCCCTCATGAATACACATGTGAAAATCCTTCACAAATATCATCAAATAGGATTCAGCAATATGTAAAAACAATTATGCCTCAGGACCAAGTAAGATTTATTCCAGGAATGCAAGGTTGTTTCAACATTCAAAAATCAATTAATATAATCCACCATGTTAATGGGCTAAAGAAGAAAAAAATTAATCATATCCATCAATGCAGGAAGCATTTGATAAAATTCAACACCCATTCATGATACAATGCTCAGAAAAATAGGAATAGAGAATTTCCTCAACTTGATGAAGAACATCTATTAACAAATTACAGCTAACATTATACTTAATGGTTAAAGACTGAAGGCTTTCCCCTAAAATTGGGAACAAAGCAAGGATATCAGCTCTGACCACTTATATTCAAAGAGTGCTAGGCAATCTCACTGGTGCTTTAAGATAAGAAAATGCATACAGATTGGAAAGGAAGAAATAAAACTGTCACTATGTGCAGATAATTTTATTATCTACATAAAAAAATCCCAAGGAATCTACAAAAAAAACAAACAACAAAACAAAACAAAAACCCTCCTGGAACTAGTAACCAAGTTCAGGAAGGTCACAGGATACAAAATAAACATACCAAAAAAACTGTTGTATTTTTGTATACTAGCAAAGAACATGTGGACACCAAAGTTAAAAATACAATGCCATTTACAATCACACAAAAAATATATAGGTGTAAATTTAACACAAATGCACAAGATTTTGGGGCGCCTGGGTGGCTCAGTTGGTTAAGCGACTGCCTTCGGTTCAGGTCATGATCCTGGAGTCCCAGGATCGAGTCCCGCATCGGGCTCCCTGCTCAGCGGGGAGTCTGCTTCTCCCTCTGACCCTCCCCCCTCTCATGCTCTCTCTCTCTCTCTCATTCTCTCTCTCAAATAAATAAATAAATAAAATATTTTTAAAAATGCACAAGATTTTTATGCTGAAAACTACAAAATACTGATGAGGAAGATCTAAATGAATGAAGTGGCCATAGAGTTGTTCATGGAACTGAAAACTCAACGTAGTAAAGACGTCAGTTCTGTGCAGTTTCTACCAAAGTCCAAGCAAAATTTTTGTAAATGTGGAAAAGATTATTCTAAAAATTATGTGGAAAGGCAAAGAAGCTAGAAGACCTGAAACAGTTTTGAAAAAGAAGAATAAAGTGAGAATAATTGTACTTCATTTCAAGACTTATCTAGAAACCAAGGCTATGTGGTATTAACAGAGGGATGACGCAGAGATTAATGGAATGGAATAGAGGATCCAGAAATAGACCCACCCAACCAACCAATATTTGACAAAGGTACAAAAGCAATTCAATGGAAGAAAAATAACCTTTTAAAAAAATAATGTTGAAGCAAAGTGGACATCCACGGGCAAACACCACCACCAACAAAAAATCTACCCAAGCCTCACACCTTACACAAAAATTGTCTCAAATGGATCACAGACTTCAATATAGAATATAAACTACAAAACTTTTAGGAAAAAAATTAAGAGGAAAATCTTCAGCTCAGACTTGATCCTAAAAGTATGATCCATAAAAAAATAATAAAGAGAAGTGGACTTCACCAAAATTAAAAGCTTGTGTTCTAAAAAACACTCTCTCAAGAGGACAAAAAGACAAAATACAGACTGGGAAAAAATATTTGCAAACCACAGAATCTGACAAAGTACTAGTATCTGACATAAATTAAAAAAAAAAAAAAACTAAAAACACAACTGTTAAAAAAATTAACAATCCAATTGGAAAATGGGCAAAAGTCATGAAGAGACATTTCTCCAGAGAGGATGTGCAGGTGACAAATAAGCACATGACAAGATGTTCAACATCATTAGCCAATAAAGAAATGCACGTTAAAACCACAATGAGATATTACACACCTGTCAGAATGCCAAAAATACAAAATGATACCAAATGCTGACCAGGATGCAGAAATATTGGATCACTCATACGCTGCTCATGGAAATGTAAAACGGTACACAGTCACTCTGGAAAACAGTTTGGATGTTCCTTTTAAGCATGCACACACACACACACACATACAAAACCACATATGCAAGTACCATGCAACTCAACAATTGCACTCTCAGGCATTTATCCCAAATAAATGAAAATTTACATTCACACAAAAACCCTGTACAGAAATATTTATAGCAGATTTAGTCATCAGAGCCAAAAACTGGAAATAACTCAGGTGTCCTTTACCAGATGAATGGATAAACAAACTGTGGTCCATCCATATCATGGAATTATATTCAACAATTAAAAGGAGTGAACTATTGATATGCACACAACCTAAAGGATCTCCAGAGAATTAGGCTGAGTGAAGAAAGCCAATCCCCAAAGGTTCCATTTACAGAACATCGTTGAAAAATCAATATTATAGAGATGGAGAACAAAATCATGATTTCCAGGAGTCAGGGATGAAGGCAGGGAGGGAGTGGGTGTGACTATAAAGGAGTGGCCCAAGGAAGCTGTGCTGGTAGAACAGATCTGTATCTTGAGTGTGGTGGTGCTTACGAAAAACTGCAAAGTGATCATATTGCATAGACCTACGCGCGCACACACACACACACACACGAGCACATGTAACACTGGTGAAAAGTGAATAAGCTCCATGGGTTGTACTAATGTCACATGCCTGGTTTTGACAGTGCACTCTAGTACGAGATGTTAACTCTCCCCGGTCAGCTGGGAGAAGGTACATGGGACATCCCTGAACAATGCGGTCCCTGGGGGAAAGTGCATGGGACCTCCCCGAGGTGGGAGATGTCAGCACTGGGGTCAGTTGGAGGAAGGTGCACCAGACCTCCCCGTGGTGGGAGATGTTAACAGGAGAGTCATTGCATGGGACATCTCTGAACACTGGAGTCACTAGGGGAAAGTTCATGGGACTCCCCATGGTGGGAGATACCAGCACTGGGGTCAGCTGGGGTAAGGTGCAGAGAATCTCCCTATACATTCCTTTACAACTTGCTTTAAATTAATAATTATTTCAAAATAGAAAGTTACAAATGAATAAATGGATAGATAGGTAAATAAATGGAACCTGACATTGGAGAGCCATTTAGCATCCATTCTCTTCTGCTGCTATTTAAGAAACACTTCTAGAAGTCAAGGCCTTTACACATATTATACTTCGGTTACTCCTCTCAAAAATCCTGAATAATAGGTATTATTATCTCTATCCTGCAGATGGAGAAGCAGACTCAGAAGCATAAAGCCACTTGCCCAAGGGCCTCTGTCTGTCAAGAGCACACACTCGTGCCCACTCCGCACCACTCCTTCTAGCCTTGAAGGCCACACCAGTCAGCAGATGGAATACCCCATCTGACACACTGCCAGGGGGGGACTTGCTCACCTAAGAGGGCCTGGGGCCTGGGATGGGGGAAGCCCATAAGCAGGTCTTGATGGGGAAATCAGAGGGTCAGTCCCTGGAGGGCAAGGTCAGCTCCTGGGAAGTAGTTGGGGAACTGGGCCACTCCTTCTCTTCTGTCTGCACCTACCCTTGAAACTGGCCCTGGCCCAGTGCAGGCACGCCAGGGACACTCCCCAGCACTGTTCCCTCCCTATTCTTTCCTGACTGTCTCCCCATCAGGTCACCCACCCCTAACCAATGCCATCTCCCCTTTTACAGAGCTGAACTTCATCACCCAGTCCCCAGAGGCAGCAAGACATGGGCCCCATTTTCCAAATCCTGACGGCTCTCATTTAACCAGAAGACTTGGAGGGGTGAGTTGGAAATGGGTTGGGCTGGGGCTGGGGGTGGGGTAGATATGGAAGAGAACACTGTTTGGGGGCTGCTGACGGAGGGTCAGCTGAGCAGGAAAGCAGAGTTTGACAGCAGCTCCTTCCTTCTTGTAACCTCAGAGAAGGCACATGAATTATTTATGCAGCATTGTTTTGGTTTGGGAAAACTGCCCCACATCTCTTTTGCATTTAAATAGGGATTATGGCCTAGAACTTGGAGAAGGAAGGCAGCATCACTAGACAGGGTAAGCTGAGTCTCAGTTCGCTCCTATGTAAAACGGGGATTATGGCAGCATCTCTGTCTTGTGAAGGCCAAGCAAAGATGATCCATGTAAAGTCCTTAGCAGAGTAGCTGGAACCTAGTAGGTGCTCAATAAATGCTTGTTGAATGAACAGACACGCTAGATGCCTAATGCATGTTAGTTACATGGGCAGCCCTCTCTGGGGTCACAATGCCACTCTGCCTTCTAGAGCCAGCCCATGTGGCAGCTCTGTCAGGTATCTCCCGCTCCTTACTGGGAAGCATGTCTTCCTCTCTGTACTCCTGAAGCCCTTTCTTTGGGCCTCTGTTATTGTCTTGCCCAGTCCACCTTGCATTATATACCCATGAACCTCAAAGTCCAGGCCTGCACCCCCACCCCTGTTAGGGGCCAGAGCTTGTACAGCTCATCTTTCAGCATCAGACCCAACTTAACTTCAGAAAGAACGTTCTTTGAGCCAGAGCTAAGAGACATCATCTCATCTGACCTTACCAGAGGGCGCTATTAGCCCTTTCACAGATGGAAAGACTGACCTAGAGCTCAGTAACCATCCAGACAGGAGCCACAGAGAACCAGGAGATGCCTCCAAGATTCTCTGCTCACTTCCTACTACCCCACCCTGCGTATGCCAAGGAAGATGAGTAACTCCGGACAGAACTGGGGAGGGAGCAGACAGGCAGACTGGCCACATACCTCTGTCCCCCACCTCACAGATCACCCAGACTTCTGGCTTTGCGCAAGTTTTGCTTCTCTCCCCAGCACTTTGGGGCTAACCAGATTGTTTCCAAACACATTACATAATTGCTCACATATTTATTTATGCCAGCTCTTGAATATTAAACGATCGATAATATAGAACAGAAACATGGGCGTTTAAACCCAGCAGCTTTTGACAGGCGTTGGTGGGGAAGGAGGTTGAGGAGAGCCATCCCTGAGCCATTTACGGGAGGAGAAGGTGACATCCCCCCTCTTCTTTTCCTGAGATGGGTTGAAAGGCTTCCCGGGCCCATGGTTGGCAATCACATGGTGGAATTTTCACTGTGGGGTTTCGGCCTCTTTTATTTCATAATGGCAAAGATGCGTTATCATTTCCCTAAAGGATACTTGAAGCCAGAGCCTAACCACCTGTATGCTTGTTCATTTATTGAGCACCCTCTGTGTGCAGTCCCTGTTAGGCTTTTATTCACCCCGGGGTGCCCTCATGAATGAAACAAATGAGACGCCCGTCCTCATGGTACTGCCACTCCATTGGACAGGTAACCAAATCAATAGATGGCTTCAGAGCATCACAAGCAGTGTGAACAGAGCAAAACGGGTGGCAGGGTGGGATTGGCCGGCAGTCCCCTGAGGAAGGGACATTTGACTGGAGGTCTCCATAGTAGAAGCAGCCAGCCATGCAGAGGTCCGGGATTTGGGAGAATGTTCTAGGCATATGGGAGGGCCCCCAGGAGCAAGTAGCCCGTTTGAGGTTGGGGAACAGTGAGGAGGACAGTGGGCTGGGAGGGGTGAGCAGAAGCCCAACATCAGTGATGTGGGCGAGGAGTGCCTACTGAGGGTCAATTGGGCCAGGCCTGTAGGGCCTCCTGTGAGGAGTTTAAATTGTAGTCTACATGTAGTGGCAAAGCTATTGGAGGGTTCTGGAGATCTAGTGAATGTTTGGGAACCATTGCTCTGCAGCTGGGAGAGGGCTTGGGGGTGGGGGCCGGTGCCAGGAAGGGCTGGGTCTGAAGTGCTGAGGGATGGGGCTGCCCTGGCCCCAAACCTGACCTTCCAGCCTCCAGAGGGAATCTGTCCAGGGTGATTGTGTGTCTCCCACGGTGGCTGTAGAAGCCTGGCCTGACCCAACTGGAATCACAGTAACTCTGCTATCAGCCATAAAAGTACCTAGGATTTATTCAGAACTGAGAGTGAGCCAGGCACTGAACAAGCCCCTTATCCTCACCATCACCCTGTGACACATGTAGTTTTATTATCCCCATTTCACAGAAGAAGGAACCAAGGCCCAGAGTGTTAAGTAAAATGCCCACAGTCATCCAGGGAGTACACAGCAAAGTAGGGATGTGAACCTAGTCAGTCTAGTTACACAAATGCAGCCCTCAATCCATGTTGGCTGAATGAATTAATAAGAATAATATTAACCACTTATTATTGTGCTGGCGAAGTGCCAGGACCTATTTTAAGTGCTTTAAAAACATTCACCCCTTAGTCTTCTCAACAGCTCCTGGAGGTAGGCTCGACCACTAGCCCCACTTTACAAAATGAGAAACTGAAGGACAGAGGGTTATATCACTTCCCTAACGGGGATTTGAACCCGGGAGGTCTGGCCAAATTTGCATGTCGGAGCAACCTATTAGGCTGCTGTCAGGAACACCCGTCTACAAAGCAGCTCGGGCCTCATTTACGTGTTGACAGTAGTGCCCACCCGCTGGGCAGTGCTGGGGGTGGGAGACAGCACGTGGGAACGTGCTCTGTAAAAGGTGAAAACTTGCACAAATGAGAGCTTGAAAGCACTTGAGGGTTCCTTTAAGATTACTTATTTATTTATTTGAGAGAGAGAACACAAGCAGAGGGCAAAGGGAGAGGGAGAAACAGACCCCCCGCAGAGCAGGGAGCCCAATGCGGGGCTCGATCCCAGGACCCTGAGATCATGACCTGAGCCGAAGGCAGACGCTTCACCAACTGAGCCACCCCAGGGCCCGCAATACTTGAGGATACTTAAACACCTTATCCTTTTAGGGAGTTGGAACGTATCCTTCCATCCTGTTTTCCTCAATGAGGGAATGGAGAAAAACATGGGCCCTGCCCCTGGCCAGACTGCCCCAGAGCCTGAAACACAGGGGACAGAGCAAAGAGCTGGGGTCGTGCACTCAAACCCCTGGTACCAGCTTGTTAACTCTGGGAAGCTCTTTCCACGTGCGATCTGTCTGGGGAGGCGGCATGGCTCACCTCCGCTAGCATCAGGTCCCGGTGACACAATCCTGGGCAAGTTGTTTAAACACTCTCCCACGTCAGCTTTATAATCTTTAAAACGGGAGTAGGAAGCCATCCATTTTGAGGCTATTGGAAAGATTACCTGGGAGAGAAAAACTGATGTGTCCAGCAGAGCCCAGGATGTCAACGGTGCTCAGCGGGTTTCTGTTCGCCTGGTGGTCCCCCGTGGGAACGGCTGCCTCAAAGGGGGAGGACCCCAGGCCCCTTCCTGCTGGGACCATGTCAGACTCTCCACTGCACAAGCACTGGGAACAGACCGTTCGCCATCCGTATCCGTTTATGTGGGCTGCTGTAACAAAGCACACAAGCCGTGCACCTTGACAAAGACCGTTGTCTCACGGTTCCAGAGGCTGGGAGCCTGACACCAAGTGTCAGCCAGGTTGGTTCCTTCCAAGCCCCGTGAGGGAGGATCCGTTCCTAGCTCCTGGAGCTTCAGGGGCAATCTTTGGCATTCCTTGGCTTATGGGTGCATTACCCGGATCCCCCACATTTGGTATCATCTTCCGTGTGTGTGTGTGCATCCAAATGTCCCCTTTTTGTAAGGACACCAGTTGTATTGGATCAGAGCCCACCCTAACGACCTCACGCTACTTGCTTGCCTCTGTAAAGATCCTATTTCCAAATAAGGTCACGTTCACAGTTACCGAGGGTTAGAACTCCAAAGTACCTTTTAGAGGAAAAGTCCAATTCAACCCATAACACTATCATAATTGTTTGAAGTGGATTCTGGAAGGGTCATCAGTGCATTCATGACATTTCTTAAATAGACTGAACGAATATTTTACATCATTTTCCAAAAGGGCAACATCCTTCTCAAAAATGACTCCTTAGGGCGCCTGGGTGGCTCAGTTGGTTAAGCGACAGCCTTCGGCTCAGGTCATGATCCTGGAGTCCCGGGATCGAGTCCCGCATCGGGCTCCCTGCTCAGGGGGGAGTCTGCTTCTCCCTCTGACCCTCCCTCCTCTCATTTGCTCTCTCTATCTCATTCTCTCTCTCAAATAAATAAATAAAATCTTAAAAAACAAAAACAAAAACAAAAAACGACTCCTTAGCTTCCAGGAGCTTCCCATTAACTCTTGGCCTTAAACTCCAGTGTGGGTCTCTTGGGCCATCATCTTCCATAAAGAGCAAGCAGCCTTGAACCTGAGCTCTTCATTAGCCCCGACTATGCGCTGAACTCATGGAACATGGGAAGCTAGGGTCCTAGCCTTTGAGGCAGGCACAGGGGAGGGCCACAAGGACAGGCAGGCAAGCAGCTGGCTGTTCTTACTGGACAGTAGGTGCTGGGGTCACAGGGCCCTTCCCAGCAGTGATCCTCAGGGGTGAAGGAAAAGCCTTCTTTCCTTTATCTTTGTCTCCTTGAAGGGGACAATGCCCTTCCTGAGTGCTCTGAGAGCATGGGAGAAACCCCACTGGCTCTTTGTGCGGTCAGATAACTCATCAGTCACTCACCTTTCATTCTGGGATGAGACCTACTCCTTAGTCTGCCTACACAGCAAGTACCAAGTGCAGAGGAACCCAAACCCGCTCCACCCCCAGCTGGCATCCCCAGCTTGGCCAGGGTCCCTGGAGAGGTCAGGGGTCAGTGGTAGACCAGCCCCCCTGACAGATCCTCATCTTTAACCAACTGAGCCACCCAGGCGCCCCCAGATCCTCATCTTTAAAATAAGCTCTCCCACCCCAGATATTGAACGTTCCCATGTTGCTTGAACCGAGAGCCAACAATCTGCA